ATTTTTCCAGTTCGACGAGAGTGACCGAAAAGTTGTAAATTTTGGAAATTTCCGCGGACAACACCTGGTCCTAAAACGAATTAGTTAGAAAACAAAAGACGGAAATCTATTAAGTTTAACATTTAGACTTTTACAGCTATGATGAGAAACGTTTAAAATTTACAAGAACCCTGTCGCGTCTTTTGAGGTATATTAGTGATGCGACAAAAGAAACATTTGACATTGCCAAATCCCGAGGGTATCGGCACCCTCGGGATTTGGCAGCCCGCGTGCATGTACACACTGCACACCTAGCAGGGCTGTCTCTAATTCCACTGGTAGGGAGCTATTTGACTAAGTGGTTAAGATTTAAATAGTAAATTGTTGTAAAGAATATTTTATGTTATTTTCATGTACAGGTACGTTTCATTACAAAGCTATATTTAATTATAATTTTCTTTAAAAGTATATTCAAACAATTGAAGAAGGTTTTGTACCAGGTATGTATGTATATCCATCAAACATTTTATTTCACCGAGTGAGTTTTTATAATTTTATTTTTAATTTTAGCTCTTATACCGTGGCTAGCAATTCGGAATGTAATTGCGATATTGAAAATTTATTTTAAAAAAGTTTTCGCTCGAGATCATATAATGAAAAAGAAAACATTATTAAAAGAGAACGGACAATGCCTAAGTTAAATACAAACGCTTAAATACAAACGCAAAAAATAAAAAAATTTGTTCGATATTTTCACGATAAAATGGCTCTGTAAATGCATAAAAATGCATTTACAGAGTGAAATTAGTGTGTGGAATAAGAATGTCTTTGACAATTTAGCTGGCAAAAAACACGAAAAATCGTCTATTCTTTCATATTTGAAGCAATTTGGAAATCGAAGCGGAATAGAATTTAACATTAGTAAATAATATAAAATAAATATTGAAAATTGTAACGAGATAATTATGGGTAATAGATATATTATATCTAAATAAATAGATGTTATATGTTTTTATCAAAGCAAGAATTGGCATTTACAGGGCATATGGAATATATCGGATCTAATAACAGAGGTAATTATAATGAACTTGTTTATTAAGTACGTCAGATAAATAATCTATTAAAAATACATTTAAAGAAAAAAATTAACTGATTGCCCCTGGATGTCGGCTTCTTATAGAAACACAGCTTCCCTATCATCAAATGTCACGGCACGCCCCTGCTTTTTACAATTTACAAAACTAATACTTTCGAAACATTCAATGTGGGTACCTTGAATTCATTACATGGGTCATGATTTGCCATAACTGTTGTAATCCTTTTATGATACCAAATAGACTACACAAAAGTCTAGAAACATTAGGTCTTCACAACAGCACAAGCATGACACTACAGAAGTCAGCCATACTAAACATATACCACATATGAAATTCTTAAATACTTGTACAGTTACAGAGAACATACATAATAAGCACATAATCATAGTAACAGTTTTTAGTAGCTATGTCTTGATCTAGCATAGCACTGGTCATTAATAATAACCAACAGGATAAATGCATAATAAAATTAAATTAAAAATGCATATTCATAATTTTACCAATCAAGAATGTTTGATGGTAGAGGGTGAGCTGTGACATATGGCACTGGATCACGCATAATCCTTAAATAATCCTGCCGAAGACGCCGGGTAGCCATATTTCCTTTACGACTCATCTTTTCTTTAAAATTAAAAATGAAAAAAAAAAAAAAAAATTATATCTCCAAATAGTATTAATATTTTTTAATTATTTAAAAGAAATAATTACTGCATTGTTATCAAAAACTGTCTTAATAAAAATTTAAAAATTTATTTTAAATTACATTTATTGCTATAAAACAAGAGTATTAAGTTATGTATTTATAAATAATGAAGCATTATAATCAAACATTTCATAGCTATAGAATATAAATTTATTATAAAAATTAATTAAAATTGAAAAATGATGACAGTTCCAATTTATTTTTTAAAAAACCACATAAATATTAAAAGCAGATAAGTCAAATTTTATCAATAAAGACTCAAAATAAAAATGATTTTAAATAACATTATTGATAGTAGTAATATTAAAAGTTATCTCAATTAATAGGAATAAAGTATTCTATTATAATTTAAAACAGTGTTTTCTATTATGTTTATCCATATTGCACAATGAATTGCTTTTTTGATAGACACTGGGCTTTACATCCATCTTTACTTTGATTTTTAGGTGCCAATATACATTTTGGGCTCTTGTCCCTCTTCTGTCGGCTACAGAATTAGTTTTAAAATGTTATAAATTTGCAATAAAATTTGTTTTTAAAAAATGTACCTTTTTGTTGTTTTTTTATCCAACACATTGTATAAAACAAACATTTGGCATTCTTGCTTCTTTACAAATACATTGAACCAAAGATTTATGAAAATGAAAAGTGAAAATGTGGCTCATATCAGTGTAGTGTTGTTTTGACACTGAGAATCAAAAATATTGTATGTAAAATATTGTAAAAAACAGAGTTGACTAGTGTCAACTCTGTTTTTTAGATGTTCAATGTTTGTTTTATACAATGTGTTGCATAAAAAACAACAAAAAGGCACATTTTTTAAAAACATATTTTATTGCAATTTTATAATATTGCAAAACTAATTCTGTAGCCAACACAAGAGGGGCAAGAGTCCAAAACACGTATCGGCACCTAAAAATCAAAATAAAGATGGATGTAAAGTCTAGTGTCTATTGAAAAAAGCACTTTTTGAAAAGTATTTTTTCATTTAATTATTTTGGTTAGCTACAAAATTGCTTTAACTAAAACAATAGGATTTTAGAAATGTATACTTCTCTTATTCATAATATAAAATTAAATGTAACTTATATTCTAATTAGATTCAACAAAAATAAGGAAAAGATTGCAATTATTGTTGATTATATTTAACTAAGAAAATAATATAATAAGTTTATTATTCTGTATAACACAGAAATAACTAAAAAATTTGGTTCATTTAAAAATAATTAAATAAAATATGGTAAAACACAGCTTCTATTACATACACAAATTTTTTATTCAAAAGATCAAAATTTTTATGTAATGTTTCTAATAATAATGTTAATGTAACTTAATTGTTCTCAGTTCCAAAAAGTCTCCTGATATATTTTACTAATAAGGAAAGGATCAGACATTCAAATTTCCAATTTGAATGAAACTTGGTAAGCATATAGCCCTAAGCACAAATAGCTAATAGGGGTGGGTCCTATTATTTGGACCCACCCCACTTTTCAAGAATTTCCAAAAAACTGGTCTATGAAAATTGAGTGTTTAGTTTATTGTCTTTGAAAATTTCAATTCTCCTTGGAATGGTGATAGCCAAGTGGATATGATGCTAGGAGCTAGAACTACAAAATATAGGTCAAACCTTTCCAATTTTAGTTTTTTTATGTGTTACATAATTATTTTGTTATTTGTACAGTATCACTAGCATTATTATTACCATTATTATTCCTCATGTTTAAAGCTTATAAAACAAGAGATTAAAAATAATGACATAATTTCCTGTTTAGCAAAAACAGTCTCTGTAGATATAACTCGTTTATGTCATTACATAAAATTTTTATTTCTTCATATTTATTTTCAAATATGGTGATATTATATTTGAAGTGTAGCAAACATGAGCACACAAGGAAATTGCCCATAACATCAATAACTAAAAGAAAATAAAAAATGCTGTAACTATGATACAAACAATTCAAATTCTTGTTAAATACAGTTTTTTTTTACAAGATGTATTAGATTTCTTGTATCTTTTATATAATTTTCTACATTTTGATATTCAATAGCATATTTTTTAATGAAAATCATAAAACATAGTTAAAATTTCTCTAATTCGGTATCTAAATATTATATATATTGGGTTGTGCAACGTTTGTCTGGATTTTCAAGTAATGTATTTGCAGAGAAAAACAACCTTTTTCCTCATCAATAAATATTAAGATCCTGTTTATACTGTTTAAATATAATGGATATATACACTAATATTGTGTACTCCAGTGGAATTAAATCATACAAGGAGCCAAGTCGTTCAGTTTTGGTTTGTCAAAAATACATTTTGGGCTATGCATTTTTGACAAACCAAAAGTGAGTGACTTGGTTCCTTGTACAATTTGATCCTGATAGAGTATCACAATATTTATGTATATACTTGTTATATTTATGCAGTATTTTTCCTGTTTTAAGAACTGACTGATTTTGTAGACTTAATCACTTTCAATTTGACCTATTTATACAAATCAGTTATGATAAACATCTTAAAGTAACATTCATTAAAACTTGTATCATCAAATCCAAATAAACTTATTACACAATGCAACAAAAATCTTCTGACACTTAAAATATGTTAAAAAAAAAGCAATGCTTAACAAACTATCATCATTAAAGCTAATCCAAAAATAAAATTCATATTTATTTTTTAATACATATATATAATATATATATATATATACACACACACATTTTTTTTAATAAAATATATTCCCATTCTGAACTTTAATGATAGATTAGTTGACCTGACTTGTATTAATTGTTTTGAAATCCTAACTACAGAACAAACTTAGAATTAAGGTAAAGTAAAAATAATATATTTCAAAGATTTTCATTCATTCATAAATATTTTCCAAAATGTTAAAAAATAATTTAATAATATAAAAATAATAATAGTATTTGCTTGGCTTCAATTCAATCAATTATAACAAATAAGATATAGTTCTTCAAAATTGTTATTTTATTATAGCATATCTTCATCAGCCAAGCCAACAAATATCAACCAAATAACTTTATCCAAATAACCCTGATAGTAACTATCAGTACACAAAAGATAGATCTAATAAATTAAGATTTAGGTGCAAATTTCAATAATTTCCATAATTCACTTTCATTCATACCATCATCAGGCAATTTTAAACAAAAAATTATGCATTAACTTCTAATTCCAATCGTAACTTTGAAATTTGTTAGATTATAAAAATGTGAAGTTAACTTAAGAACTACATGATGCATTCTAAGTTTGAACTGCACACACAATGAAAAATGCACTCATTGCATAAAGCCATCTGTTGTGGCCCAAGACATCTTTCACTCTCTCTGTGAAAGCATCACTTATGTTATGCTCAAGTATTTTCAATGCTTATTTTTTGCTTTACTTTTGCATTTGGTCACATATATCAGAGATCTACAACCAGTGTGCTAAAAGATGATTATAGGTGTGCCATAGCAAAACAAAAACAATAAGAAATAATAGTTTATTTTTTTTAATCTTTAATGTAAACAAACAAATCTTATGTAAATATTAACATTACAAAGGTTTTGTTTATTTTTTTATTGTAAGGTAAGTTGAACAAAACAATACCTTAAATATTACTTATGTTATGTCTATAGTGCATGCACAAAATTTGACAAAAAAGAAAAAAAAAAACAATTTTTGATAATGATATCAAATTTCCTTTGTAAAAAAGTACACTAATGTGGAGTGTGTAACTATCCCAAAACAGCTGTAACATTTAGAAATATTTCTTGAACATGTGGCCTTGGCTATCTGTTAAGCTAAAAAAAACTCATGAAAAGTGAAATTTTTCAACAAAACAATAAATGAAATATGAAAAAACACTTTGCATGATATGTATGTCATCACTCTACATGAATATATACTTTATTTTTTATCTAAAAATTTTTTTTTCATTTTTGATAGTTAATTACAACTTGTTTTAATCAGAATTTAATTTATTTATAAAACAAAAAATAGATAACAAAAAAGTGAAAATTTATTCATTTCTAAAAAGCAAAAAATAACAATTTTTTCCTTTATATATTGTCATCAATTTTTTAGTCTTTACAGCAAGCTCTGCATATAGTAATGCTGTGTTCATTACAAGTATTATACTTGCATTCATACATACAGATTTTGTTTTATGAACTCTCCCAATGATTATTTTCCTCATCTATTGATGGGAGAGAGTCATCATCATTGATCTATCAAAGCATTTCATTTGTTATATCTTCATTGTTATAAACACAAATACACTTCTTTATTATAATTTTTATTTAATACTTGAAAAAATTTAATTCCAAAATTTTTATGTTGAGTATTGGGAGTGTGATACACCCCAAAAATGCTCAAATCACTAAATGAAACTACTCAGTTTCATTTATAATGTAATTTTTCATTTGGCATGTAATTTTTACTACTTGTTTATTGTTGCTAGATAGGAAAATTCAGGGAAACAGAATGAAATAGTTAGAAATAATACTTTACAACAGTAAGATGTGAACTCTGAAGATACTTTTCTGTTAACAGGACAACAATTGTATATACAGCACCATATAAAGAAATGGCTATTTTATTATGTGTAAAGAACAATTTGTACATTTGTACAATGTGTACATTTCAAGAAAAACGGGAAGTACGTTTTACTTGAAATGTACAAATAAAAAACTACGAGTAGAATTCTCCACATTACACAGGAGGACAAAGATGCAGATTTCATTTAACATTGTCAAAAGCATTGCAATTTTTTTTCAAGTTTTAATTATTTTGTGTTTTATTAAATCTACTTCACTTTCTTACTCCCTTACTTTTCCATTACATTGATAAGATAATGGCATTGTGCATCAGATTACAATTACAACTGGCGTTCCATTAACAGAAAAGTACCAGAGAGCCTGTATCTCGCAAAGGATCACACACAGAGGAATGGTTTCTTTGACTTTTTTGCTCCTATGTATATAGTCTATGGCTCTAGTATGATCCCAACCGTCTCATTCATAGGTGTAATTGCATCCTTTGCATGAGGTGTAAACCACCTTGTGCAGAAAGAAATTAACTTTCCATCAGGCATGCCTGGAGTTTATACAAGATTATTATATGATTATTTATATACAAATCAAAATCTTTGCATGATTCTGATTTGTATATATAAATAAATTAATTTGTATTGTTCCTGAATTAAAATGCATTTTGATCACACTTACCTGTTTTCAATTAAAATGACTTCCACAATAGATAATTAAAGAACTGCCAGCTCTAATTTTTTATTTTCTATTCGAATTTTCATAGACTGCAAGAAAGTAAAATGATTATAAACACATTTTAACTTTCAAATTACGATACTGAATGCTTCAAAACTAATTATCAATATAGTAATGATATTTATAAATTAATTTTTATAAGCACATTAAAACTTCAAAATGAATTTTCTTACATGTTTTGCTTTTTAAACTTTTCATCCTTCGTTCTGAAAAGTTACAATTTCGTCGCGTAAACACCCTCTATAGGGGGAAAAGAATTGCTTACTTTCATTATTTATTTTTTACAAATAATAATTTTAATAAATTATTTTTATTCGAAAATAATTTATAGACTTATTATATAATTTTAATGGTGATGTTAATAATAATGATGACTTTCTCACCAGTCACTAATTTTTTGAGGTGAAAGCAGTGGACAATGGCGTTACTACCGACCCCTAACTTAAATCGATCTCCGAAACTCCGACATAAAGAAGTATGACGAATCTGAAGCATAATAGAGCTCGGTTTAGAAGTTTTTTAACGGGCCAATTTTAAAGAAATTCTTAAACAGAAATGAAAATTATATAACTTTTCTTTCAATAATCAATATTTATACAGGGTGTATCAGAATGACGTTTTAAAACTTTGGGGGATTGTAGAGGATGCAATTTTGAACGTTTTGATATAAGGAACCTATAGCCGGAAATTTGAACTAAAGTGTCTACAGCGGTAGGAAGTGCTTGACCGCCCTTCACTTTGGTAGTTACCAGTGCCGGCCCGAGGCAAGTTTTAGGATGGAGCGAGATCCTATTATGGCGCCCCTCTTGGTTGCCCCTAATTTATACCCTTTAATTTTCTTTACCACTGAGGCGACCCCTAGGACTTAGTGCCTGGAGCGGCTGCTCCGTTCGCCCTATGGTAGGGCCGGCTCTGGTAGTTACCCTTCTGTCCATTGACGTCATATTATTGCTGCGGATGAAAGACTGTAAACACACAACTACAGTGGTCTAACTGAGTCTGTGTACAGGACGTTGTGTACTTAGTGCTTGTCATCCTTCAGGTCACCCCTTGCATTCACTGGCGCTGTGCTGTAAACACATAACTAGTCAACGTGAGTCCCTTGTGTACGCAACACCTGTAGGAATAGTTCATGAGCTTACGGAGCGCATCTTTACAACATTTAATACCATCAGAGGAGAGCGTGGCATTTTACAGAGGGTCGGACAAAACATGGTTCGTCGTTGCACGTTATGTAACAAAGTTGGTGGTCGTCACATTGAAAATTTACTCTAAAGTAGTGCAGCCACTGATTCGATGTATAGTTTGATTGTACTCTACTGTTTTGTCAATAAAACTTGTCATAAATACTGCATTCTGCTGTTTCATTCAGCATACCGACCGCATAGAACGTGCAAAGTGCTGTAGAAACTTTATATCACATTTCTGGCTATAAGTTCCTTATATCAAAACGTTCAAAATTTCATCCTCTACAATCCTCCAAATTTTTAAAACGTCATTCTGATACACCCTGTTTAACGATGTTCCGCTACATTAGAATGAATTTGGTTTTTTTATAACTCGTTCCGCCTTGTGAGCACTAAGAGGGCTTTTTTTAGCAAGCCCAAGGGTTCGGCCAGGCCCACCGTGTGGTGGTGGACGGGGCCCGACATATCCGGACGGAGCATCCAACCGAAAAATTCCTGGGAGTTTTCGAACCCCTGGCCAAATGCATCATTGTGACTGTCGAAAATGGATTCTAACATTTAGAAAAAGCTTGCTGTTTATCAGATTAACGGCTGGATTAATATAAAAGTTTCGACCCAAAGCGATTTGATTGATTAAATATTCACTCGAGGATTTTTACTGGAATGGAAACGGATTCGAATCGAGCAGCAGCGTTCTTTCTGTTGCTGAATAACGTCATTGATTATTGATTATAAACATTGGATCATATCCTAGTTTGTCTTGTCTTTGTCATTCGGAAGAAGTGTTGACTGTTTATATAAGGAATTCGCTTGTGCCAACGATAGATCTGAGCGGTATTAGCGCGTGATGGCGACTGCTATGGGTATAAGGTTACTGATCTGTTAGAATTAGAAAATGTCAAACTTACAATGGTAAATAATAAGTATTGCTATGTATTCCAATGTAAGTCTAAAGGTTCATCAAACTCAGTACATATGCACACATTCCCAAAAGATAAATTACACTCACATAATTTTTCGATTCCTAACTTTTGATCAGGGCCGCGCGGTAGGTTTTCTCAGTATGATGCAAGTCTTCGAAATGCCGCTTATGCCACCCCTTAAATGCCGCTTATGCCACCCCTTAAATGCTGCTTATGTCGCCCCTTAAGGCCCTTTACAGTGCCGCCTGATGCGGCCGCCTCTCTGCATCATTACACGGCACAGCTCTGCTTTCGATTTTCAAATGGTATTTTATATACCCCAGCTTTCTCTTCCCTTTTTGCGCTGTATTTATCGTTTCGTAGCAAGCTATAGATATTGAGTGCTCTTTTATAGACTATTCTCGAGTTTTTATAAGAAAAAGATCACCCAATATCTATAGCTTGCTACGGAGCGATGAAGACAGCGTAAAAAAGGAAGAGAAAGCTGGGGTATATAAAATATCATTTTAAAATCAAAAGTTAGGAATCGAAAAAGATTATTTGGGTCTGACTAGAAGAAACCCGGCAGTACATCTGCGAGAACATAGATACAACGTTGACAAAGAGCACAACAACACAATATTGTTATTAACAAAATTATGGCGCAGACTAAAGGAGCGGTTGTAAAATGGAAAGAGGCTAAAGTCATTAAAACGGTGGATGGAGAGTGCTCCATCCATCCATCAATCCATCCATCCAAGGAGATGGAAAGGATGGAAATTTATAAAAGTAAAATGAAAAATCGTTGCCAAAATTCTAAAGATGCTAATGAGCTTTCAACAGCATGGAAATGTATAATAGAAAAGAGAATGAGAGCTTAAAAACTCTTAAACCACGTTCCTTTCTAGTTAGCTTTGTTTTCTATGTTTTATTTGTTTATTATTTATTTATCTATTTATTTTATTTCTTTAATATACACACTTCTTTGAATTTAATTTAAATTATTTTTTTAATTTTAAATATGTAAAATATTCGAAAACGGTTCGTTCCATTTATAATATTAAACCTAACGATGGCCTATATTAGATAGGGTGAAAACGTTCGTAAAAATAAAAGAATTTTAAGGTCAGCAAAATTAGGTGTTGTGAAAGTGAAGTGAATTATTTGCTGAGAAAGAGTGGATGGACATGAAGTTATCAGTTTCAACGTTTCCTCTCCTTCTGTAAGACATCTTTTTTGATCACCCACATATTCTAAAATGTCACAAAGTATAATCATCATGATTTAAACAACTACGAAATCAACTAGGATTAATGTCGGACACACATTCGGATAAAACGTTTTGACTACAGAGAGAAAAATTATTACAAAGACAACACACAACTAACTCTCGTATGTTGTTAGGCACGCTATACCCTTTGTGGCAGCCATTTTGGTGGACTCATATCTCACTTATATTTATTGGAACAAGCGAATAGACAGATACAATGTTTAGGTTTACTAACTTTATAAAATATTGGTAGATTAATTAGTAAATATTACATAAGGACGGCACTCTACGTTATACCGTCATGGATTGTCCAAGAATCCAATATGTCCGTATAATGAGGATGTTTCGAATGCACACGATCGAATGAAATGTGTGTTATCTGAATTAATTTTGATGGAACTTACTTCAGTTGATGAAATCGTTCAGGTAATTTTACACGTACTGTAAGAGGTTACAACTAATTAGTAAAATTGAATTACTTACCTCTAATTAATAAACTCTTATTAAATACCCTTATTGGGTAACTGGTAACTAAAAACAAATTAAAATTAAAAATTTGGCTGACGTATTTACATTAAAAATATAAAATACATAAATATATTGAAGCTACAAAAGTCATCATTAGTCATCATTCACAACATCAGCGACAAACCAAAATAATTTTCACTTCTCCTCAAATGAAAGGTAGTCTTTGTAAGTGAAAATTGTTTTGGACTGTCGCTGTGTTATGAATGACGGAAAATGATATTTCTGAACATTTTGTAGCTTCAATATATTTATATATTTTATATTTTGATAAAAACAAGTTATTTTCCGAAAATTACCAATTTTTACTTTCATGTTTTATGATTGCTACACAGAATAAATTGCATTTGCATTCACCCTGCCTCACAGACTATTCAAAACCGTTGAAATTGCTTTTTAAAGACCGAGTGGACCTTGAGAAGAGTTGTTTAATATTGGAGAAAATTGCGATTTTATATCAGATTTTGTTCAAAAATATTAATTCAATATTGAAAGTAATGGACTAATTAAAAAATAGAAAATATAATAGACAAGAAACATTCAAACAATAGCGAAAATTGCCAACAGCGATAGGGTGCAATACCTTCCAAGCATATTATTGGCCTACTAGCTACAGGGCAAGAAAAACTTTGGGTTCGGTGAGGCTTAATCAATAGAGCGCTTGGCAGTGTTACTGGTATTATTAATGACAAATAAAAGACAACCATCGTTGCCACTCAATTTTAGTGCAGTTTAATCGCTTCGATAGCCATACATATACGGGAAATTCAATGCTTCCGATATAAACTTACCCGCGAGTGGTTAAAACCACTAAACACTGGTAGTTACTCATGGATTTGCGCATTGCCAACGGTCTGGCCACGTGAAGTTGTCCAGGTTTTCATTACGTTTGTAATACCTAAATAGAACCAGATTCCATTAGAAAGTTCTTTCTAGAAGTATCCTTCCTCGGCAGATTGCCCAAGTGTTGAGTTGTTGTAACTTAACTAAACAAACAACTACACATAAAACGCAATAAATAAAGTTGCGATAAATACAGATACAAAACAATTAACTCTTGGAGTTTTATTTAGCAGAGTTAAAATATTTGATGTCCTACTAATAGTTCCACTTTTTTATCAACAAATAATTAATGATATTCAAGACCTTAACCCGTAAAATAAGCGAAATTATAAATTATAAAGTAATAAAATACAACGTACAGCACGGCCATCGTCAAGCAAAGAAGTTCTCGTGTAGATAAACAAATTTTTTTAAAGCAAAATAATATTGTTTTGACTACAGAGAGAAAAATTATTACAAAGACAACACACAAGTAACTCTCGTATGTTGTTAGGTACACTATACCCTTTGTAGCAGCCATTTTGGTCGACTCATATCTCACTAATATTTACTGGAACAAGCGAATAGAAAAAGAAGTTCTCGTGTAGATAAACAAATTTTTTTTTAAAAGCAAAATAATATAGAGTAATATTGAATGTACGAAATACTGTACATCTGTACTCACTATGCCAGCAGGCCTCATAATGATGACGTACAATAAAACTGCAAGAATAAATAAATTATTCAATAAATTGCTTATATTTGCAATGCAGTGTACGAATGACGACCTCGACTAACGTCCATCTTGGAATTTGACCTCGATCCATGTGGACACCTATTGTGCTGTCTCTGTGTAATACTGGTTTGGTTCAGCAGCCAATATTACATAGAACATTCACACGCAATGTTTTCTTAGATTGCCCGAATCAATTAAAGCATTTTAAAAAATAAATAATTGTTTATTTTGGAACGTACAAATGTTTTTTACTACACTGTTTGTCAAGTTATACAGTAGCCTATATTCAAACAAAATGTTTATTACAGTATTGTAATAACCAAATTAATCTATTTATAAGAAATTGTTAAGTTTTCGGGCTAATAATCAAAAAACAGTGATAAAAAATTAAGCTTAAGTAGTAATAACTATCATATTTTTTCTTTAAATTGTAAACAAACAAATATTACACAAATATACGTTATACAGTTTTATATAAATCTCAACGTGTGCAAAAACATATTCATATAAGCAGGATAAGGAACAAAGATTCATAATAAAAAGTATATATTACGAACCACAGATTAAGAATCCGACCGTCACGAAATTCGAATGCAAAAAAGTAAACCTCATAGCTGTATTATGTGTCACAGCGTTGCCACAATTAAATTTCAAAACGTACTGAAGCTTCTTCAAAAAATGTACTATTTTCCTTCAAAATGTACTTATTTCTATGGTTGGTTACTTTTGATATTAATATACCATCATACTCAAATTTGTGCCTATTTCAAATTCATATTCATGAATACTTTGTTAAATATGAATACTNGATATTCCCACGAAGACCTTGACAAAATTTTTCACGCCACGTGGTCCAAACAATTCAACTCTGTCAAACAAAAATAATGGGCAGGTAAGGAAATCAATGAATTTAAACTTTTGTCATCAATAATATCAAAATATCTATTAAGTCAGAGTCGAATTATAACACAAAATAACTTTGAAATTGTACAAGTATAAATACAGTAATATAAATACGTGGTTAAAGTCCAGATACGTATACCGTCATGGCGGCTCATCTCTAATTCCAGCAAACAAAAGAAAGGAAAAAGTGGGGACGCACGTTCTAACCTAACCTAAACCTAACCTAATAATTTGGTTGGTAATAATTATGGTAATTTATTAGAATAGGTTAGGTTAGAACGTGCGTCCCCACTTTTTCCTTTCTTTTGTTTGCTGGAATTAGAGATGAGCCGCCATGACGGTATACGTATCTGGACTTTAACCACGTATTTATATTACTGTATTTATACTTGTACAATTTCAAAGTTATTTTGTGTTATAATTCGACTCTGACTTAATAGATATTTTGATATTATTGATGACAAAAGTTTAAATTCATTGATTTCCTTACCTGCCCATTATTTTTGTTTGACAGAGTTGAATTGTTTGGACCACGTGGCGTGAAAAATTTTGTCAAGGTCTTCGTGGGAATATCGACCAACATACACATGGTGTATGTCGGTCGATATTAACAACATACGGATAATTATAATTTTATAATTATTTTAGAACATACGGATAGTTGCATGTACAAATGTTATGACTCAGTGGTCCTCTTTCACACATGTCACACGACATACACCATGTGTATGTTGTGATTGGGTAAATCAAATTAGCAAGCAGTGACACTAGTGAGACTTCATTAAACTAATTGTTTCACATTTTTTCGTTAAGGTGTGAAATATTATTTTGTACCATAAATGGTACTGAAATATTATAATGTACTCAAAATGTACTAAAAATCTAAGTGTACTTTTAATGTACTGGAAAAGGCAAAATGTACCCGAAAAATACAAATGTACTAGGAATGGCAACGCTGATGTGTCATCTTAGTCACGTGACAAGGTTTAATACAGTATATGACGTTGGGAGTGCTGTATATTTCTATGAGTTCAAGTGACTTCCGCGGAGTTGACCATCTAGATATATTTAATATGTGGTAAATGAATTCCGGTACTAACCATGACGTCAAAACACTCAATATGTTCGAAAATATCGCTACTGAAAAGTTCATTCAGAAGAAAAATATTTCCCAACGTATAAAGAATTATTTTTATTTAAAGGTGGATAGATAGAAAAAAAAATCACGGTTAATTAATCCTCAAAGGATTTCCGTAACGTGTATAACAGCCTTTAGTAAATTGCCAATTCTTAACAGTGGATTTAGGGTAGGGACACTGGGATTTAGCATACAAACCCCCGTTATAGCACTTAAATTTATACATTTTTTTTTTAATTATTAAGTAATTATATTTCATTTAGAAGTAAGGAAAAATTTTAGAAGATTATAAGCTAATAAAATTATATGGTGTCCTTCCTGTTATTTTTCCGCATTTATTACTGCTTAAACCTATTTACTGAATAAAGATGAACCTCTTAAATATAAATATTTGT